TAATCCTTAGCATTCCGGAAAACACCACATGATTATACCTGATGGTTATAACATCGGGCGGGATTTCCTCGTCGCTCAAGCCGTCTCTTCTCCGACTCACTGGAATTCTATCTGGTGGCAAACTGAGGTTGAATGGGTTGAGGGTCTTCTTGAACCAGGGAATGATGGCGTCAACCATGAGATTGAGCAAGACGGATTTGTAGCGGTGCTCACTGTTACGCGTTTGTAGGTTATAGGGTTGCGAGAGCAAGTCCTATCGCGTGATTTCGTATGGCTCTCACCCTCATACAACTACCATCCTCGATTACCCGACTCTCCCAGGTTCCTCTTCATGGTTCCTCCGTATTCACGATTGTGCCAGTATGATCATCTATCTGCATGTCAATCCTTCTTGTAAACCTATCTGTTGTATGTATGTACTCATTTTACATAGATTTTTCTGGACCCCGTTCATTTGCTCTATTGAGTTTCAAAGGGGCTTAGATGCATTGTATTTATATAATTGATAATAGACAATTATCACTCTCGACTACGGAGTAAAAACCCTACAAGCAAAACATAATAAATGCCTATAAACATAGCGCTCGCTTTTGCAACTACGACATGTACAGGCTTGTACGTCGCTTCGAGCAATCATACTAACTCTCAACCTCCTCATCGATTGGAAGACTCGACGTTCCCTCTATCCAAATTCCTGGACTACAAGATAATGAGTGAACGAGCTCAACATCCAACTAATCCTAATCTGCCTGGAAAATGACACCAATCTTTTCACGGTCCCTTCGCAGTCCCTATGACACGTTTTCGCAGAGTACGTGAAATCTGCCTCGGTCGGAATATGGGTGAAGAAACCAATGAGTGTAAATACTAGATACTTAAACACTAGGTACTTAGGGGTGATATGTTGTTTTTGGATTGGGAGGATCACTATCCACGGTGGAGCCTTGCTCGCATCTTAGAATGCAGATACGATCGCACTACCGAGACTATGCACAAAATCTGATCCCTGAGCTTGAGACGGGACAGCCGTTTCCGTACCTGAATTTGAACGGGCATGTGGTCTGGTAAATTTTGAACGAAGGTTAGTCCATATTACCTTGCGGTCATTGTGTGACTGCAGCTCATCTAAGTCGCTTGGATCGATTCGTGAGTTTGCCCAGAGCTAGAGTCAATTCCAATAATAATCATCGTCCCCCGCTCGAGCTAGGGAGATGTTTGACCACCTCCGTGCCATGAGATGTCTACAAGATACGTCGGCTTGCCTTGGCATGGTGGGGGCTGACTCCGTTTGCAAGTATCGGAGAAGGCACGACTTATACGGCTTTAGCAAGTAGACTGGAAAGGGCATTGAGTCAAGGCTTCCCAGTTATCTCTTGCATTCGTCATAGACATGCAACTGGTGTTAAATTGAAGCAGAGTAATACTACCACAGGGATGCCATCTTTCTGAAACACTACTCCGATATTGATGGAAAAGTCGAGCACTGAAGCAAAACCAGGTCTTGTATCAGGTTCAGGGAAGGGAGACTCTGTATTCAGCCATCTCTGATAGTATCACGACAAAGCGCATGTAGTCAAGTTGAGGTTTGTGTCACAATGCTGGATTGCAGAAGCTCTTGACTTGATACTGCCTCGAAATGAACGAACCATCAGATAGAAGTCCATAATGGCAGTAGCGTAAATGACATGCTTGAAGTAACGGCAACTACCCAATTATCCAGGTTGTATGTGGTGGTTCAATTCGAAACATGAGATTGAGGTTACTGTTACCAAAGTCAGGAAGACTGAATGAATACTCAAGCGTGCTCACTTTGACTCTGCTTGTAAAATTCCATAAGGACGTCCGGAAAGGACCCATGGCCCAGGAAGTGGAAATCGAATTTTCCCGCATAGTGCCTGCGGTAGTTGCAGCACCGGTAGGCCATCACATGTACCCTTGATGTGATGCCCCCGCATGAAGCCAAAGGGTGTTTCACTATAGATTGCGTGGAGAGTCGGCTTTGAAAGGAGAGGAAGGAGAAGATGAGGATTATATGGAGCAGGCATATGCACAAACTTGAGCAATGGGGTGTCATACATTGCTCGAAGGAGGAGATGCTGATTTTCAGTTTTCTCCTTCCATTCCCAGTCCGTCTCGTATGGGAAGCGCAACTTGACAAGCCTGCTCCAGTGCACCGTAACGCACGAACAGATAGCTGCAACTAAAGCTCGAGTCTGGATATTGTTGTAGGTGTTGTTGAAATCATTCAAGCTCAGAGAACACGGCTGGATAGATCGGAGAGAGCTGCAGAGACCTTTGGTACTGTCCCAGGAACTGACTGCCAATGAAAGACTGATATGAGTGATATTCGACGTGCATTTCATTATTTTGGAAGCTGTTGCACCGAATCCGCCATTGAAAAGTAATTTCCGCACACGTACGCCAAGATGAGGCTTGCTACTGAGGGTTCGTGCAAGACAGCGTGCCTGCTCTGAAGTGGATAATATGATGGTATGGTAGAAGGACATGCACGCAATCTGGTTCCAATTTCTGCAAACAAGGAGGGCAGCATCCCTGGTGGTAACGAAAGCTGGTTTTGAGCCAAATCTATGAGCGAATTCGAACTCGTCATCGTCAATGACACAAACGTCTTGGAATACCAAGTCCAAAACTTCATTTGGGAAGGATTTCATTTGAGAGAGAGAGAGAGGGAGAGAAGAGAGAAGAGAGATGGATTTGAGTAATATGATGCAACTGTAGCACTGGTAAGTAGCTGAGCTCGAAGACACAACGCTGCTTGCAAAAATAACAAATTGACATTCAATGTGGGCGAATTTTCAATTTGTCAGTCTCATCATGTCCTTCTTCACTGACCCTGTATATTCTTGGCCTTCAGACTTGTGCGACAAATTGCTCGAGTCCAGGTCATTGTCAGCATCACATACATCCTACGTAGACCTGTACGACGAGAAATATGTTCTCAAAACTAGAATGAAATCCTCAGGCGAGCTCGATAAAGACAAACTCGCTCGGGAAATCGATATGATATCTCTTGCTGGCCCAGAATGTTCCGTTCCTATCATTGGACGCCACTTTCTTCATGGGGCGGTGAACGGTTTCATCACTCCGTACAGAAAATGTCTTACCCAAGGTCGAGGAGATGATATTCGTCCAGAGGTCTACAATGATCGCAAGGAGATCATTCAAAAACTCAAAGTTTTGCTGGAAAACCTGCATTCCAAGGGAATCATTCATGGAGACGTCAAGCCTTCCAACCTCGTCCTTGACGATTCCGGGAACCTGCGATTCATTGATTTCGCCGAGTCCGTCTTAGAGTCTGAACATGCTTTGTCCTTGCCTAGAACTGCCTTGACAGCACGCTACGTCTCTCCTTCCTGCATGAGGACACTATCTCCCTTGACCCGTGCAGATGACCTGTACGCTACCGGGGTGACGATTTGGCATATCTATACTGGACGTTTACCGTTTGAGGATGTTGACGAGGATGAGGTGGACGATGCTATCCTACATGGTCTTCAACGTCTAGACCTCACCATGATTGATGACGAAGATGTTCGAGCAATAGTATCTAAATATCTGCAAGACGGAGAGCCCAATGTCAAGCCTCCTTCTTCAACCTGATTCAACTGGGAAATTTCGCATACTCGTTTGTAGCTTTGTTATGGCGGTTTACCAGTATTTGTTTGTAATGATTATATGGATGTACAGTAGGATATAGATTGTGAACAACTTCAATAGGCTGCTAGCTGACTTTATTCCAGTCACATCACCCTGCTACAATGACATGCACAGTTGCGAGTAATCAAGTTGCTAATCTCCAATCCTCCTGGTCAATTGAAAGACTCGATGCGCCCCTTCTGTGCAAATTCCTGCACTACAATATAATGAACAAGATAGACGTCGGAATAGGTCGAGCGCTGCCCAAGTCGCCGGCCAAAAACAGGATGCTTGTTAACGTGAGTATAAATGATTTCTCGAATGAAAATTGTTGAAAAAGTTGGGTAGCTCGTATGCCTCCTAGCCGGATTGAACGACTGACCTTTGCATGAAATCATGGCTGATTACAAGTGCAACGCTCTACCACTGAGCTAAGAAGGCAGTGTAGGTACTCGGGTCTATAAAATCATCATAACGCTTGATCACTACCTCAAACTTCCATGTACGCGCTAACAATGCAGATATTTTACGTAGAAGGTAAACAGTAAGATAAATGAAGAAGGTAAAGATACACACAAACACAAACCTTTATGGACCGGTCAAGGCAATTTGACCGCGGTCTATGCAAGGAGCAACCCCCTTTGAGCTATCACGCTTTTGGCCTCGTTCGTCTTCTTGTGTCCATAATAGGCCAGATCAAAAGGCCATTGTCCGCTTCTTCCCTTTCATCAACTTAGATCTCGTCTCATATAAAAGCGTTCCGGTTTTGCTCTCCTCAGCTCTCCATACACATCACCTCACTTACAGCAGCTCATCCTCTTTCCTGTTTTTCTCAGTTCTCCCACCCTTACCACTTTCCCTATTGTCGTCTTTGTGTATCTCATCTCCTGTGTTATCTACGTAGTTAGTATTCGCCAGTGCCGGCTTGAGCTAGGCGTCCCGTTTTCTTCCGGGTCCCTTGCGAGAGAGCATGGGCGACCAAACATGATCTTGTTTGTACCCAAACTCTCGCCTCTGTCCCTGACACCTAAGTCTCATCTCACCAAGACGAGTACGCATAGACTCGGGACAAAAACTTCATATCAGTGCCCATGTCCGTGTCTACTATAGTGATGTAGTAGCCACAGGAGCTTGTTGTGAAGCAGCAGAAGGAATCATTACGCCACTACAATATTGCAACTGCGGTTGAGCCACGGTAGAAAGGTACGTTAATTCTGGCGCGAATTCCTTTCAATGGTCATGCCGAAGAATATCAACACTTCACTCGCGGTAACAGTTGAACATAAGAAAGAAGACAGCAAATTTAACTTGAAGCAAAAAAAAAAGAAAATGGAAAGGATAAATGCCTCCTGCCAGACTTGAACTAGCGGCCTTTGCATATTCAATGGTGTATACGAGTGCAACGCTCTACCACTGAGCTAAGAAGGCATACACTATTTTCTGTAAGGCTGGTATATATAGGGTTGTATAAATTTCTGTGACAATCTCACACCAGAACGTGACGGGGTGACATCGCGACGCGTCAGTCTTCGTTAGATCTTTACATCCTTCGACTATGCCTTCACTACGAGGAACAACATTTGGTAAGGAAATCTGATAATCTCTCTTGCTGAATGCTGATAAGTTCTATAGACTCGAAATCAACTTCGGTTCCTGGTGGAATCAAGGCGTACTATCAAACCAAGATTGAAGCAGCGGAACTCACAATAAACCAGAAAACGCAGAATTTGAGACGACTAGAGGCTCAACGAAATGCACTCAATGCAAGAGGTGCTATTCTTGTACTCTTCCCATTCGGTTGCTTACTCATATATCTTATAGTCCGTTTGCTCCGAGAGGAACTTCAATTATTACACGAACCCGGCTCCTATGTTGGCGAAGTCGTCAAGGTCATGGGAAAGAACAAGGTGTTGGTCAAAGTCCAACCGGAAGGGAAATACAGTAAGTGCCCTACATCAACCTATCTCGTCGCCATAACTCCTTCTGCAGTCGTCGACCTCGACTCTGAAATCGACATCAACGCCCTGACGCCAAATCTCCGCATTGCCCTCCGTTCTGATTCATATACTATCCACAAAATACTTCCTAACAAGATCGATCCCCTTGTCTCGCTTATGATGGTTGAGAAGGTTCCCGACTCGACGTACGAAATGGTCGGTGGCTTGGACAAGCAGATAAAGGAAATCAAAGAAGTCATCGAACTGCCTGTCAAGCATCCTGAACTCTTTGAGAGCTTGGGTATCGCCCAGCCTAAGGGGGTACTCTTATACGGACCTCCTGGAACGGGTAAAACCCTGCTTGCAAGGGCTGTCGCTCATCACACCGACTGTAAATTCATACGAGTGTCCGGATCTGAGCTCGTGCAAAAGTACATCGGAGAAGGCTCGAGAATGGTCCGTGAGCTTTTCGTCATGGCCCGAGAACACGCACCGTCAATCATATTCATGGACGAAATCGACTCTATCGGTTCATCGCGTGGAGAGAGCGGTAGTGGCGGAGGAGACTCGGAGGTTCAGAGAACGATGTTGGAATTGCTAAACCAGCTGGATGGTTTTGAGAGCACGAAAAATATCAAGGTCATCATGGCTACCAATCGAATTGGTCAGTGAGGTTCTGATTATCATTAAACGGCACTACTAAATCATGTTTGCGTGACCTACCCAGATATCCTTGACTCTGCCCTCCTTCGACCTGGTCGTATAGATCGAAAGATCGAGTTCCCACCTCCCGGTCCTGAAGCCCGAGTGTCCATCTTGCGTATCCATTCTAGGAAGGTTGGTGTTTTCCTCATCTCATGATGGAACTTCTTGTCTTCATGTGACACATAGATGTCGCTTCAACGAGGGATCAACTTGCGCGCACTTGCGGAGAAGATGGGTCAATGCTCTGGAGCGGAGGTTAGAGGTATTTGTACGGAGGCCGGTAGGTGTAATGCTATATCGCAGTGGTGACTATCAGCTCACGGCGCTCTCAGGAATGTACGCTCTTCGAGAACGTCGACAACACGTTACACAGGAAGATTTCGAGTTTGCCGTCGCAAAGGTGCTGCAGTCTATCGATTTTTTTAATTTCGTCTTTTGTGACAATATTTGCCTAGGTCATGAAAAAGAACCAAGAAGGTAATACCTCAGTCAACAAGCTTTTCTCATAACCTTGTCGACTTTCGATAAATCTTTTGTACCTTATTGCGAATATCAGAACATATCGAAAAAATGAGGTGCGAGTACTGAGATCATTGAGAGTATAGGTTGCTCCGAATTCAATTATTGAGTCGGTTGCAACTCTTTGTTCTCAGACTGGTACGTAGAAAATATGTAGGTAATGCAACAGGGAAAGCAAGAGAGAGTAGTAAGCTAAGCGTCCACAGCAATGTGCCTTGAGAATGTACAAATGCAGGAAAAATGCGGAAAGTAGGATCCGTCGATAAATGTCGTGGTTGAGGGGTTTTACAAATGCTATCAATGAGTGCTATAACAGTGGAATAGAGATAACTGTACAGAAAAAATGCGGAAATGCAAAAAAAAACATATCGGTAAACAATCATTTGAGAAAAATACGTCGCAAGCTTTAGCCAATGCAGGTGAAGCTCCGGCATGAAAACGACAACGCTCAGTCATCATAGCTAGGAAGCCGGTAGAGTTCAAGCTGATAATCAATTGGCTGATAACGCTGGTAAAGCTCATCCCTTCCAAGATAATTTCCTGGTAACAGGGAGGTATCGAGTTCGGGTAGCAATTCGGTGGAAGAGCTCGAGCCGAATTGTTGATGATCATTGAAAGAGCTAACATCGAATCCAGTCTCTGCGTTCGAGAAACTAGTAGAGGCTTCGCCGAAATTCGAAGCGTTCAAGGTAAAAGCGTCCCAGGCGGATGTGGATTCGTTGTAGTCCGGAGCATTCAAAGCTGTGGTAGTGGGATCGATGTTTTGGTTGGTGACCATAGCGTCGATGGCTCGGAAGAAGTCACCTTGAGACAGAGCATTATACATTGTAGCATTGGCTTCCTCAAAGGATTGTTGCGAAAACGACGTGTCGAAGGTAGAAGACAGTCCAAGTGAAGACTGTTGACAGACATGTGAGAATTAGAGTGTTGATCATAGTTCATGGGGGAAAACTTACATCGTGTAACTGTCCTTCAAGTGATGAGGGATTAGAAGCCCAAGCGCTCTCGCCAGCGAGAAACCCGGAGGAAACGTTCGAGTAAGGCGAGACTTCCCGACTTCCAAAGTCTTGAGAAGAATCGCCAGAGTTGAATGGAGAAGTCTGGTCTCCACAGAAGGCGGGGTCGCTCACGCTAGATGTCGGGGAGAAGGAACGGAGAGAAGAAGAGCTCTCGTCCGTGGAACTATCCTCGACCCCATCGTCCAACACAAACGTACGATAATGAGGAGCACCAGCTACCGTTACCCTACGCTTAGATCGAGCCAGCTCAGCCTTGTCCTTTTCAATCTGCTCTCTTGTCCTTGGCTTGTAGACATAACCAGGATATTTCTCCGCATGTTCCTTCTTTTCTTGCTCGGCACGGAGCTGGTACTCCTGTTTGACAGCAGGCGAAGCAGCTTTCCAAAGTCTAGAAGCCTCCTTGGAGATTGAAGACTGAGTCTGTTTTCCTTCGTTGGCTCTCGTCAACACCAGGTCGTTCCGGAAGATGATGAACGCGTTCCGAGGGCGAGGGATTCTCTGAGGAGTTGTCGAGACTGAATTTTGTTTGGCTTTTGGCATCGTGTCGAAGGAGTGTCCGGAAGATGCTAGCAAGATGGGGAGAGTAAGTGAGATTGGGAGGATCGAAGTGGATGACTGGCGACTGTTGAAAAACAAGAAGATGTCGGATTTTGCAAGTCGAAAAGCGCGTCCTTTTGAAGACCCGACACGTGATGGTCAATGTCGCTCATTTCGTGGAACAATAAGAGCAATTTGACGCTCACCATTGACCGGCCAATTTCAGTTTCTCTTTAGGGTCTTTTGGCAATCAAAGGAAGTGGGGTCAATACCTGCTTCGAGCAGACTTAGAAGTCGTGGTCAAATAAGTCGTTAGCCGAAAAAAAACAATGGAAGCTGGTGCTGGTCCAATAAGTGGCTCGTTCCCCTCGAGGAGCGGTCTTGACACACGAGGCCTAAATGATAGCAGGCCAAAGACCTGAGGAACACTGTGCTTACGAATGATTGGGGATCCATAGCATTTTCAGTATCGTGATCCGAAGATTAGATGGGTACGACCTGCACAGGTCACTGGCGCCGTCACTGTTGTCCTCCAGCCGTCCAAGCCCAGCTTTCGCCTGAAGCCGGATCCTGACGGAGGATATGTGAGAAGTCCTCTCAAGTGACGGGGACCCCAAGAATCAATTCGGACATCTACACATCGAGAGGAACTTTGTCACAGAAATCGTGAGTTCTTCTTTCGGTTTCAGTCACCTTGCTCAGAAGAAAAAGTTGGGCTAGCGTTACTATTTAGCCGTTGAAACAAGACAGAAGTGGACAAGAATAAGACTTACAGGCTGAAGCAGGGCCTTTGTGACTACCATCAGCCTAGAGGTCGAGTAATGGGAACCAACCGTGCTTTTTATGTAGAGTCGATGTGGATGGCTTGACTCTATTACCAATGATGCTTGGCCAGAACCTCTTTGACGGTGAGTTGATACTTGCTCGCCTGCGAAGATGGTTCAATTGAGGATGCATTCGAATGGCCGTCATAGACCCTTGAATTGCTTGCTTAGACAAATAGTTGTGCACGAAGCAACGCGAAGAACTATGCAGAGTTATGGGGCGTGTGTAGCTACGCGCGGCGTATGCGAACGTAAAAAATTGGCTCCAACATGATCTTGTATGAGGAAAGTTCAAGAGTTCAAAGCACTATATTGTTGAGGTATTGAGGATGAATTGTCGAAATTGAACGTTCATGTATCCAGTATGCCTGAAAGCAAAGAACTCCGAAATGTGCCGGTAGGCTATTTCCCGCTTCTTCTTTGCTCCTCCGTTATCTCTGACGAAAATGTGTGTGACGCCAGGATGAACGTCATTTACAATTGCTACTGGTACATAGATATGTTTTCTCCGTATGTTTTATGAATTTCGATTCAACATTTCGCTCCTACGTTTATATTGTACTTTAAACAAAATTCTTCAAAATGACTTACAATGGAATGAATCAAGTAGGTTTTCTGTACTCTTCGTGACAACGCCCTCACTGCTGACCACTTTGACTGGATCTAGGTTCATTTTGCTCCAGCTGTTGCTCCTGGCGCACAATCGCAACTACCTGGTTAGTCCTACCATCATGAAATGATCTCAACTTCATCATAAGGTGTAGTTGAACAAGGATCGTACAATGGATCCTACGTTAATCCGACACTGGTTTCAACAATTCCTGATACAACTGCCAGTCTGTATAATGGTTCAACTAATGGTGCAGTAATTAATGAATCTGTCGCTCCTACCGCAGCTGCTGGTGCCGTGCCTGCTGTAGTTTCTGCTTCCACGCCTTCCCCTATTACCACTAGCGCTTCGGTATCTACCACACCTGTTGGTGTTGGCGTTACTACCGCACTCCCACAAACTGTTGTCGGCTCTACTGTACCTCAGGCTGGCATATCCTCTGCTTTCCCTGAAGCTGGAGTCGCTCCAAGTGTTCCTCAAGCGGGCGTGCCCGTTGTACCTCAAGTTGGCGTAGCTTCTGCTATCCCAATGATTTCTCCTATGCCCCAAGTAGGTATGGCTGCCGGTGTTCCTCAGGCTGGTGTTCCTGCCGCTGTCCCTCAAGTAGGTATGGCGACCACTTTTCCCCAAGCTGGTGTCCCTGGCGTCGTTCCACAAGCCGGTGTAGCCTCCACAGTTCCTCAGGCTACTCCAGGATCTGCGCTCACCAGCTCTTCCGCTTTCTCTGGCCTACGTCGTCGTGCACAGAGTCTTTTTGGAGGATTGGAAGGACCTGGGACCGCAGGGTCGGCGAGCGTTGGGAATATGGGAGGCTTGGGTAACAGGGGGATAGGTGGCATGGGTGCCGGAACGATGGGAGCTGGAACTATGGGTGCCGGGACGATGGGAGGCATGGGTGCCGGAACGATGGGAGCTGGAATGATGGGAACTGGTATGATGGCACCCGGGACGATGGGAGCAGGTATGGGGACCGGTGGAATGGGAGGCATGGGAGCCGGGACGATGGGCGCTGGAACAATGGGCGCTGGAACGATGGGAGGCATAGGAGGCATGGGTGCCGGAACAATGGGAGCCGGGACGATGGGAGCGGGAATGATGGGAAATACGAATATGGCAGGAGTTGGAGGCTCTGTCCCCTATGCCAACGCCATGTATTCATCTGCGCCGGGATCAACTTATCCTTCTACCATGGCTCAGCCGCAAATGCAATACGGTGGTACTGGTGCAATGATTCCTTCTGCTGCTTCACAACAAGCTCCTGTCGTCGTGGTCACTAAACCCAGCAGAAGGCATCATCATCATCGTTCTAGTAGACACGGACATGGGCACCGATATTGAATTTTTATCCCGAGTAGAGGGTCGGTGTTTGTGTGTATCTTTACCTTCTTCATTTATCTTGTAGCTTATTGTACTGTTTACCTTCTACGTACTTAATATCTGCATTGTTAGCGCGTACGCTTCATGGAAGAGTTTGATAGATTTGAGGTAGTAATAGAACGTTATCATGATTTTATTCAGCGTAGATACTTGCATTGCCTTCTTAGCTCAGTGGTAGAGCGTTGCACTTGTAATCAGTCATGATTCTATGCAAAGGTCAGTCGTTCAATCCGGCTAGGAGGCATTCAAGCTTCTTGTAAGAATTTTTTCACTAATTTTCGTACCAGGAATTGTTTAAGTTTTTACGTTGACTGAAAGTACTCTTTTTGGTACATAGGCGACTTGAACAGTGCTCGACATAGTCTATGTAGCTATAGAGTATCGTGCGAAACACGGCACCATGGCAGGCAACTCGAATATAGTTTCCTCATATTTCCTTACCGCGGAACCGAGTGTTTGTTATATCACAGAGTTGAAGGCCATAAATAAGAGGCTGTAGTTATAGCTGTCTGGAGTTACGGGCTTACATCTCCCCTCGACCCGTCTCGCACTTGCTACCCTCTTCTTTGCTGGTCAAAGAGAGCTTTTATCTTAAATTTCAACTTCTCCTGCTCCTGCTTGATCTGGGATCGAGAGTCTGTTGACTTCTACTTGTGTCCACCTCTAAACCCTGAACTTACCTGCAGATTTCGTTCAACTGTTAAACAGTTACTTCGTCGCCATGCATTTTAGTTTCGCTTCCTGCTTTGTCTTCGGGCTTGCTTACGCCGCATACGCATCACCGTTATATGTGAGTTGCAGTCACACCATGACTACGAGGTATTATGGACTGACATGTGTTTCGATTTTGCAGGGCCTTGACAAACCACAATCCCGCTCTACCTCTGACGCGGTCGTCCCGCCTCAAGGATCAGATTTGGTGCATAGTTTCGATGGTACGATCGTATCTACTCGAGCCTCCATTCTCGATGCGAGACCCAGGGACAATAATCCCGAGCCAAAAACCACGATTTCAGTCACCTTCCCTACAACTGGTTCCAGAAAATCCTTCCAAGTCCAAAATGCAATCAAGTCGGCTGTTAAAAGTCTGTTAAATGCAGCAAAGTCGAAACTAGGGATAGCCGGAGAGATTCAAGTAGTTTTCACTAATTGGTTTTCTTCACCCAAGATGATTCCGACCGAGGCAGAGTTCACGTTCTCTGCCAAAGCGTGTAAAGGAAGATGTACAGGGACTGCGAAGGGACCAGGGAAAGGCGTGATTCATGATGCGAAGAACGATGTCATTTTCCAGGCAGATTAGTTTGCAGTATGTTAATGTTGTTCGTTGTATCGTAGTCCGGGAAATCTGCATAGAAGGGGCATCGAGTCTTGGAATTTGAGGATTAGCATGATTACTCGAAGTGCTGTGCGTGTTGTTGTAGCAAGGTGATGCGGGGAGATACCATCTGGAATAGAGTCAGATCAAAGACAGCAGTCTATTGAAACTGTTCACAATCTAGTGCGTTTTCTGGTTATTTATGAGATCCACTGGCCTCAATCTTGGTTTGATGGTACGCGTTGATTCCACCTGGTACAGAAGGTGGTTTTGAGTATACAAATATTGGGATCCCGCAGGCGATATTATTAAATTTCCCTACCAAATGTTGTTCCTCGTAGTGAAGGTATAGTCTAAGGATGTAGAGATTTAACGCAGAGCGCGGCCGCCCGGTCACTTTCTACTACATAGTTGGAGATTGTCACGCCAGAGGCTATAACGTGCTGTTATTCCTAGGCCTCTATGCCTTCTTAGCTCAGTGGTAGAGCGTTGCACTCGTAGTCACGGATAACTCCTAATTGACTATGCAAAGGCCGCTAGTTCAAGTCTGGCAGGAGGCATTTCTGTTTTGCATCCCTTTTTTACTCCAATTTGTGTCTTCTTATGTTCAACTCTTTCCGCGAGTGAAGTGTTGGTATTTTTCGAGCATTGAAAGGAAGGTGGGCGTGGCTCAACTCTCTGCTACGTTTGCTATCTCAAAATTCGGGTTGTACTTTTGTGCAAACTCCCATCAAACCTGACAACAGGTTAAAACCCCAGAAATTGCTCAGGAGTATGAGTAGCAATTAATGAATCTTGCGTGTATACAAGTTAACTCCAAAAGAAATAATGAGCGCCACAGAACCCTCCGTGTATATCACTGTCCATTGCCCAAATGCCCGTATATTCCACTCACTCGATGGAGTCATATTGTAGCTTCTCTATCATAGGTCTGCCATGGTTGACATCTCCCTTCTCCCGACCCTGCTCGGCGAAGGAGAACTTAAAAGGTTCGAAGCACTATTATCGTGAACAAGACTCGATCCGTAACTTTGCATGCCAGACTTGACGATGACATCGGAAGCGACGTCTCTACCATACTGTTCCGCGATTTCGCTAATAGAGAAAATTGGTTAAATATTCAGAAGGAACGGCTAGTAGATCAAATGCTCACTTTGTGTAATTGTCCACTATCACCTTCATCGCGTTTGAGTTCAACTGGTATCTCTTTGGCATCATGCCCTTCCCGAACCTATACGTGACGTGATTGGAGCACAACAGTCCCGCGATGATAACTCCGAGCTGCAGAGGCACAAGTCCGAATGAGATCGTGTACCACTTTTTTAGTATATGCCTCTGCAGATTTAGGTATGCTAATTTACATCCTGGAAGTATTGATCGAGCATAACATGTCTGTGAAATGGTGGCCTCGACAAAAGGCGAAAACCATCCACAACATTGTAGTCGGTTTTGGATCCGTAATCGGCCTTCTGCTCCAAGTGCTCGGGACCACTGCGCGTTGAGTTTGCCTTCAAGGTTGAAGGTCCGTTTTTTGTACGTGAGATAACCAGGGACGACTAGGAACGCGAAGGTTATCCAGAGAAAGAACGTGTAGACCGCCAGGAAACCGCGATTGTTCAGCAGGATACCTGCCCAACCAATGACAGCGGTCAACAGTCCGAATGTCGCGGCGAGAGTGCTAAAAATGAGCTCTGCACGATTCCCTACTCGGATAACGTCGGCGTTTTGGAAAACGTCGAACCATGTGAGAAGGCAGAGTATTAGGGTTATCAGAGTGTACACTGAAAAGACTGCGTTGGACACAAAGAGAATGATTTTGAACGTGTTCCAACGAAGTTTCGTGTGTTGTTTTGTTCTTCTGAAAAATTTGTTACCAATTCGCCAGGATTTGGATACGTTGACGCCGTCATAGTCTTCATCATTCTCCCCAGGTATCCTGGCCTCGCCCGTTCTGAACGCGTCAATACCTCCACCACGAGGTATACCCATGGCTCCAACGCCACTCATAGCATTCTTTGGTCTCCGTCGCCGCGGCCTAGAAGGTTCAAGCAATGCCCCAGAAAATTTTGATGGGACATAGTTAACGGTGAGGGATATTAAATCGGTGCTACTGCCTTCAGCAGATGCAGATTGTGAAGACATCGCGCTCGGCGAAGAGCTGGTCGAGTTGAAGTGTGGTTCAAGTGAATGGTGCAGAAGGAGGATGAAACTGGTTTATGCGGAATGGGCAATGAATTGGGCTGAAGGTATACGTCTCGATGCGCGAGATTTGCTGCATGGATATCGACGATGAATCTACGAAAAAAAAGAAGAAAAATAACTTACATGTTCAGCGAACCGCACGATATGGTGCAAGAATGGCGAACAAGGGAGTGATCCGCGTTTGTGCGATAGTCGCAGTTGCTTGCCAAATATTCTGATTTGAGATAGAGAGAAGGAATTCAAAAAGCAGAAAAAAAAGCAGCCAAGATATCTTGGACCTTGCTGCGGATAAATGCGAGGTAGTGGCAGTCATTTTGAGTCTTGCCTACCAAGCCAAGACTCGGATGACGTATGAAGTCAAATCAAGCCTGAGCTTCTGGCTTCTGGCTACGCCGTTGTTCTTGTTATTAGATAATGGAGCCTCAGTTTTCTGCTCATTGAACGAGAACTTGGATTTTAAATTTTGGATCATCGGTTTGCCGATTTAGTCATCCTGAGTGCTGAGGATGAACAAAAAGATTCAAGTCGACCCAATTCCCTCAGAGTTTCCTCGTAAGGAATTGGAATATCTTTTGCCGAACCGCCTCGAAGCTGATAAATGACGCCGAGTCTTGGCGTTATGAGGCAAATTGAGGGAGACAGTTTTGTAGATTCCGAAGCTTCAAAGGCGTTTGGGTTTTGACTCGGAAGACGAGGATGAAGTAGAAAGGCTTAGTTCTCTCTGGAATTCGCCGTTACTTTTTATATCTATATTGAACGGATAATTAAAAGTACCAATCGGGGCAACCACTGAATTCTCGGCTGTCGAGGTAGGCGGCAATGCAGAAACTCTATATAAAAAGCCTACGGTAGACCGTCGGTAGTGCTATGTATTACATATCTATTGAGTATGTTCTATTGAACACATCCAACTACCGTTAAATTAATCGCAATACGCAGTCATAGGCAGTCATGTGGGAAATGACGGTCCAGCGCTATAGACAGTGACCTTCATGTTCTCTGATTCTGAACGAGGTCCCGTATGAGTCTTCGTGATTTTCATTACGTACGACTCGGGATACTGCCTCGACTACTAATCAGATTCCTCGACTTCGCCGTTGCCGTGCTATTTGTTGGTTGCGCCATCGACATCGTTGTCCCTATTCCTGATACTAAAGCCGGATTCGTGTTGAACATTATAGCAGAGCGGGGATTTGATTCGTGTTCGTCGTGACTAGTATCGGTATGCAGAACGCCTTTGGAGACATTCTCGTGAAGGTTCAGCATCAGTCGGAGAACCATTGTCGCGGATAAGCTGGATTCAACGAGAAAGGTGTCATTGTACTGAAGCTCATATATGTATGAACAATGTGGCACTTGTACTTACTCTCTCGTGAATGTGGTCATGCTTGATGACTATCGAGCGAATCAACAGAGAAAATTCGGAGTTTAGTAAGAATGCGTACTCTTGTTGCCTGCTCAGAATGCCAAGAATGAAAATAGTGGTGGTTATTGAGAGGAACTTGACTCACACATAGAACAATATTAGTAAAATGTACGAAGCAAATAACCCTGCATAGGTAGTCAATCTGAAGTGTTTGGTGAAACTCGGTAGTTTTCACATACCCATAATAGACCAAGCCTGAAGAAGTAGAATCAGGAATTAAGATTGGAACAAAGTTCAGAGGAATGGTAATTATATGGCAACATTATACGCACCATCTCGAACCATCAAGCTCATCAACGGAATCTGTATCTCCATCTCATAATAGGTTTTTCTAGTTTGAAACGATATTCGTGCAATGAGGCAAAAAATCAGAGTGTCAAATGCCAAGACACAGCCCCATGTTATTGCAAGATCTATCATTCACATTGAGTGCTCAGTGGGTGATAGATTGGTTAAGTTTTGAATATAAAACTCACAAGTTGCTCTACGAAGAAAATAAAATGAGGTCTTCAATCTGAACCGCAGAAATTCTGTGACCCACTTTTTCTCCGGCAAAAAATGATCACAAACCAAGCCTTCGAGTAGCATTGTGCCCAAACTACTTACAACGACAGACCACTGCATTTCAATGTCAGTCAGACAAGCACAGATTTGGAGTGATCACATACCACAGCTACGGGCAGGAGACAACCAATGGTGATACAGAGGGTCCACAAGATATACCGCCTGCATTCGTACATTGCGTACACTCGCATGGCGAGAAGAACTATCGGAGTGGTATTCCATATAAGTATGTTAATAAGAGAGACAAGTCATAATGGTCGAACATACTGGGAACCATAATCCCCACCACCGATGTATAAACACTGAGATACATCTGATAACGGCTGCACCTATAATGGTGGGCATTCGTTTAACACTAAATTGAAGCAGAGAAAGATGAACGGGAGCGATTCACGTCTGCTCATGATGTCCGAAAATTGTACGGGAGGAGAAAAATCACGGGAGAGGTAGAATCAGATTGACTGTGAAAGCAAATTAGGAAGGAAGAACTCACATCGAAAGAAGGCATCGTATAGAACCTGAACACCAGAACCGAAATTTCCCCACATGACACCAGATATCTAAGGATAAAGTACCAAATTGCGCTCCTGCGTTTAGGTTGAGCCCATATGTGCTGAACCTCTAGATCTACGAACGTGTCAGGTTAGTATGGCTGATATGGATATGACGAAACATTCAGTGCCCACCTAGAGTAAGGAGATGGTCGTATAGCAGGGCAACTGAAAGAACCGTTTGTCATTCCTTGATCGAAGTGGTTTAAGGTTGCAGACCTGGGGGACATATCATGGCTGCCGCTATCCACCTATGAAGAAGTTGATTGTAAGCAAGAGCGGCTGGGTTATGGGCCTCGAACACTCACCATACTGAAACAGCCATTATCTGTGGTGAACCAAGTCTTGTGCTATGGTTAAAACACAGGATTTGATGACTGGGACTAAAGATATATAGGCGCACCATGCAAGGTTTACTATAAGACCAACCATTTCCATCATTTTGATGAAATGACTCCAACAACATCAAGGCAGTATTTGTGTTTGTGAACAGATGATACTTAGGTTTACGCATAGAGGCGGATATTCGCGTTTCGAAATCATGTTGAATATCACAGGAACATGAAGCTTCCTCCGATGTTACGAACTGTTGGCCTGTTTCTCTTTGTTCGATATTTCGACTTCGTATGCACAATTTTGAGGAAGTTACATGGATATGATGGAATTACCAGCCACTGACTGGTAAGCGATCCTCCAAGCTAGCAAATTGAACTTGCGAGACATGGGGACGGTATGTTATGAGTTGATTTTGGTGTATTAGTATCGGTGATTCGATGTTCGCTGTGTAAAGTTACTATCCGTTCTATAGTACACGTGA